TCACCACTGAATCCACTGTACTTCATGTGAAAGTGGCCTTAAAGTTTAAGATACATGAGCAGTAAGAAGGTCAGAAAAGCTGTAATCAAAAATCTGTTTGATCTTTAAGGTTTGTTCTTTTTAAGAGTTGAAATGAGATCTATTGAACCAACAACCATATCATGCTGCCTGTAGGAAGCATTTTGCATTTAGCTCGAAACCTGGATGCGCTTTACATTTACTTTTTATGGGTTGAAATTCACTTACATTTTGCATTTATATGAAGTTTTAGGGTTATATAGATGAACTGTCTCATATGTCCAACACCATTATTGGTAGCTGGACTGTACAATGTGGCTCAAAGAGGAAATCTTGGCCGAGATACTCAATATTGACTCACCGCAATAAAAAATAAAATAAAAATACCAAAGGCTTGATTGTCATCAGATAGTTGATGGGTTCAGAGATCGATTTGTCCTCAAGAAGGTTTTTTTTTCCCTGCAGAAGGTGCATTAAAAGCAAAGCAATTATTTCTTGTTGTGAATAAAGCTTGTATGGCAGCAGGAACAATCTTGCTGAGCATCTCTCCACACATGGATAATCTATACTTGTGTCCAGAAAAATAAAGGGTCAAATTTAGCGTTTAAGTCTAGCATATGCAATTACTTCATAACAATTTTAGATTAGCATGCAGCATGCTAACATTCACTTACTAACATCACACACAATGTGCAGCGGAGGCTAATGTAAAAACTAAAAGAGGGACATGAATGTATGAAATAAGTTTCAACACTATCCATTCAAAATGTGTCGAGACATTACTCTTAAAACTACAAATGTCAAACTCAAAGACGAGGGGGAGGAAAAGTCACATGATCACCAAAGTTATGACAATTTAACCTGAGGGGAACATAAACGCCTGTACCAAATTTCATGACACTCCATTCAGTAGATGTGGAGATATTTCAGTCTTAAGCAACGGACGGAGTTCTACAGACTTGACATTTATATCCCTCAAGCTGCATTCCTATTGCTTAGCTAAGAAGCTGTTAGCATCTTGACAGTTTCTCTCTGCCTCAGTGTCTTCAGTCAGTGTTTAGAAGGGTGCTAATCTGTGAAAACATGACTAACATGCTATCAAGTGTAGAATAAAACCGCAGTAATCACTTCGTCACACATTCTTTCCTCAAGTATAGAAAGGCTGTTTTTTTTTTTTTTTACATTTCGAAAAGCTGTGCTTGTTTGTTTCAGAATTTAGCCCAACAGGTATCTTCTATGCAGGATATGCTGATGTTAAAATGTCTTTGTCTCAGCGTTTTTCCTCACTTTCTGTTTCTTCCAAATCTCATTCATCACTTTGCATATCCAAAAGCAAAACATTATTTACATTGAGTTGAAGAGAGGAGATGAAGGAGGAGGGAAACAGAAAGATACACAGCTACAGGGAAAAGTCTCGCAGAGAGTATTTAACATGCGTTACGGAGCCACTCTAATCTTCAGTGAGCACACTCCTTCAGATTTCAGTGAGTGAGTCATGTTTGGGGTTGTTGTGACAAACGTGACTTGAGTATGACACGCGCTTCGGAAAATAAGAAAAGAAGCATCCACATCTCGAGCTATTGATGCACGGCTGTCATGGCAACAGGCCCTTGAATAAAGGCTATGTGGATCATTATGGGGTGACTCACACACAACGCCAGGCCAGTCTTATTTCATAAACTGTCTTTAAGCTACTACACGGTCATCAAACACGCACTCTTTTAGCACATAATTTGCGTCTGTATTTTATCACTCACTATTATGCCTGCACAGATACGGCATATATCAACACTCAGACTACTGTTCTCAATAGTTTCTCCAAGGAATTAATCTGAGCCCGTCTTTATGCATTATGAATTGATATAAAAAATGTAAACAGGCTCCTCTACCAGGAACTGGGATGATCTGAGCTTTCTAGACAGGCTACTGGGTGAATTATTGATGCCTTCCTCTCTTGGTTTTTGAGATATCTTAAGGTACATTTTCCTCTAGATAACTGAACAGTGACGGGTTTCTTTAGACCCCCTGCAGTGCAAACACATGAGTTGCTTTACCCAGCTTCCCCTCTGTGTTGTTTGGAGACACTGTGATTTGGCTGTTTTTCAACCATGCTGCTAACAGGCTTATTTTAGAAAGCAACAGTATTTCAGGTCAACCAGGCTTTTTCTGTCAGAAATCCTGCACAGGGAAAGAAAACAAGGAGGAGACCCCCAAGACTGTGTGTCCGATATTTACTGTAGATTTGTGTGAAAATAGATTGTGGCATATTGTTACGTGTAGTAACCAGGGTATAGTGGGTTCAAAGTACAGATTCAGATTCAGCTTGTGTTTTGACCAGTGAAAGACTGAGAACATGAGTTTTGTTTGCTAGAGTCTCATAGTGTCTCACTTCTGTGGCTCAGTGGAGACATAACGTCAAGCAAATGCTCAATACTTATCTCACTTTTTCACTCCGTTCTTCCTGGTTCAGTCTCTGTTAATTGCATTTGCCTCCAGTTTTACTTAGCCTAGAAGATTTTCCCCTGACATTATCCGCTCTCCTTTTGAAATACAGTTTTCATATTGCACTTTTCATATTGCACCTCAATAAGTTATCGACCTGTACAATATGTCCATATTCTTTATATTATCTGTAAACTAGTATAGCATGCTCACTGCACCTTAATCTGTATATCATAATCCTAAGAATACACTTATATTTATAGCATTTATTTATATTTATAGCATCCCATTAATCCAGCCATCCATATATACCTAATAATTCACTTTTTTTAGTCTACATCTGTAAATTTTGTAATTACTGTACATAGCACAGACTCTTGCACTTTCTGCTTATTTGCACTTCTGGTGAGATGCAAACCTCATTTCGTTACTCTATACTTGTATATGTGTAATGACAATAAAGTTGAATCTCATCTCATCTCATTTCATCTCAAAAGTTAAGTGACTAGTACTACATTAAAGTCAAATTAAATAAGAGATGAATGCATGTGACTTTGTCTTTTCTGATTCCACTCCTAATACCAGGTCCTGCCCATGTTTATATAGAAGAGTTCATGCTTTATAATTGTAGTCTCCAAACTTAAGCATGACTTAATAAACTATTGTTCAGGTTGATTACAATAATTTATTTGAGAATTTTCCTATTATCCCATGCTCTTTGTTGGATGAAGTTTGAAAGAAAGGAACTTTTTCCAGTACAAAAAGAAAGAATCTAGACAGGAGGATCCAAGTTTAGTAAGTGCTAGCAAACAGCTTTAAGTTAGAGCAGACACCGCTGCTGATAGGAAGTGCACAGAGGCAATGTACAGGTTTTTTTTATTTTTTTTATTTTTTTAAATCATCAACGGCAATATCAACAGGGTCATCATCATATCATCATGATGGATATCTGTATAAACACCATCCTCAATATAACCATCATCATCATCTTTAGTAGGAACAGTATCATTGAGTTTGTATGTATTAAGGTAATAGCTGGGATTCTGCAGATCAAATTGACTTTGGTGTTTTTTTCCGCCACCAGGGGGAATTAGGAGAGTCTTGCTTTTGCAGCTCACACCCCTGTTTTCAAGGTATGACTGCAGGCACCTCTCATTGTCAGAGAATAGTGGGTTGGAGAGTAAACCTTGATAAGTGAGTTTGGATAGGTAGGAGCCGTTTTATAAGCAGTTTTCAAATGGATGCGAGCAACTGGGAGATATTTTGAGATATCTGCATCATGACAAAATGTGTGCCAAGACTGGGATGCTATCAGGTAGCCATTAGAGGAAGAACTGTTGTCCGCATAGCAGTGGTATGAGAAACCATGATGATTGCACCAATGTGAGGTGGTGTAAATTAAGAAGATAAGGGGACCGAGCACTGACCCTTGAGGCACCCCTCTGAATACACTGTTCTAAATCATATTTTTTGGTCAACAATGACTTCCCAAGACTTTTTTTTGTGAACCACAAAAATACTTAGACAACTGATCAGGAGATCGTTTATGCCAAAGAAGATAGAGATTTTTAACCTGTCTAGTTTGTATATAAAAGGAATTCTGAAACATTGACAAACGTCAAAAATAGTAAACAACTGCTGGTACATAAATCTGTCCTGTCTATTTATTGTAAGCCAGAATCTTAACTACCATGCGTAACTGAAATGTTATCAAAGGCTGTTGGCTCCGCATTAAAAGAGTTATTGGTGAAATAAGCCTTTGAAGCACTGACAGAGGAGGAGCTAACCTTTATCAGTTTTGTCCTGCGTTCTTAGTATTGTAAATAAAGTGTTATAAGAGCTCTCTCTTCGTTGAAAAAAAAGTTCAATCTGCTTTATTTTTGAATCTGCAGACAACAGTATACCTCTGCTGCAGTAAAAAGTAGTAACAGGCCTCTCAAACACCACTCTTGAAGTCATAGAGCGATTTATTTATTTTTTTGACTGAACTGAGGCAAGGCCCCCCTTCTAAACAGAGGCTCTTTTAAAAACCATTACAACTTTTCTATTAGCTCACCTACTGTGACTTCATTAGCAGTTTAACTTTGATTGGAATTCAACTTGACTGTATCTGCCCCAGCAGCAAGCCCTAATGTTTGTTGTGTCAGCGGCTGCAAATTAAATTAGTTTGCTGCAATAAAAAAGTAATTTCATGGGACAAATACAAATATACTTATGCATCTGGTGAAAGGAGTTGGAGCGTTTGTTTGCATAGGAATTTATCATGGGTAACTTCAGAGTTTTAATCAAATCTTACATTTTAAGGCCAATCATAAGATAAAAATGTTAATATGATTGCAGGAAATAATGTAAAGGGCTATGCTGCATACTTTTGTCTTATTTGGACTCATTGACTCTTGATCTTTATACTTTGCGTTAAACTAATGTATTTGTCTCAGTTGTTTAGTGCAAATACAAAGGCTGTACTGTGTGCAAATATTTCAAATAACCAGGCCTAGTTTTTGACAAATATGCCCTTTTTCTTTCTTTTCCTCTTTCAGGGTTGAATGAGATTTCCCAAATACCAGTGACAGAGGTGTGAGGCAGCATCGCCTGGACCAGCCACACCCCCCCTGTCAGCCATGCCACCGCCGGCAGACATCGTGAAGGTGGCCATCGAGTGGCCGGGGGCTTTCCCCAAACTCATGGAGATAGACCAGGTGGGTGTTCTTGGTTCATAAATACCCCATATTATCAACACACATTGCACTTTAAAATCCAAGAAAGTAGAAAAACCCAAGTATATGTGAAGTCTGTTTTGAGTGAGTCTGATGCTCACCTTGCAGGTTTAACAGCATGAACACAATGCATGTGTAGTTTGTCTAGGGACAGCATGTAGTTATCCAATGTTGTGTATGCGTTGAAATTCATTTTGTGTGTGCGTGCGTGTGTTTGGATTTAATGCTAAAATTATGCATCTTTACATTATTTCCAACAATTATACTAATTACCGTACCTTAAGGATGTTCATTAATTAGTGACAAATTAAAAGCAACGCAGCCACAGTGTAGACATCATTTTAAAGACATTGCACTCCAAGTGGGGATAGAAGCTAGATAATTAACAGGCTTAACCATACAGCATAATGGTGACTGATATTTCTTTAATAGAATTAATTGTTTCTTATGAGGCAAGTATTTAATATAGATCCATCACATAAAGCAGATATAGTCTGTTTGGGTTAACGTCATGATGAATTTGTTTTAAAAATACTAGTTAAGGAACTTTCCTCTAGCTGGTTTCTTCACACAGCTTAAAATGGTTGATTATTATATATCCTTTTAGTAAGACCGATCAAAGTTTTATTAATAATAAATTATCTTATTGTAGAATGACTGTTAAATGGGCTTGTGTAACAATTTTCTAGTCTTCTGTCTACTCAAAGCACTTTTTACACCACATGTCACACTTTCACTCCACATTCTCACTCTGATGGCAGAGGCTGCTGTGTAAAGTGTCCATCAGTATTCACTGTGTCTTGCCCAAGGACACATTAACTTGTGGCGGCAGGGGCTGAGGATTGAACCCCCTGAACTTCCGTTTAAGAGACGACTGACTCTACCACTGAGCCACAGCTGCTCGACCTGGCCTAGGAGACAATCACTTCATGCAATGTCTTACGTAATCACTCTGATATTTTACATGATATGTTACAACTGCAAATTAAAATGGATCATGTCAGAGTGGTATGTAAGATTAATGCAAAACAGGCCGTTATTTCAAAGTCCATTTCCATCAATACAAACTCATGAATCTTCTATATAAAAAAATACATTTGGTAAATTGCATGAACAGCAGCTTTAAAGAAACGTTGTACTCGCCATCATACAGCTTAAATATCATGCACTGTTAAAGGCCAGAGTGAATGTCAGAGGTCATCAGGGTGTAACAAACCATGCTTTACAAGCTCATTAAATAATTAGTACAAGAAATGACTCGCTCATGTGTTGGGGGGATTACATGTTTACTGTTGCATTGTTTGACTACATACAGTGTATGTGTGTGTGAGTCATGGTTGGGCTATTAATTGCCAAAGGCATGAGTCACTGTGGCAACTAAAGTCACAACTGCTCGTCTCAATGAATGAGGTAGGGAATGAACTGTGAAGTATATGCCTTTGTTGGTTTTCCATAAGCACTTAGATAGGTATAGATTTAAAGGTGTATTTTTTGTATTTAATGACTCCTTATCAGCAGCAACATTTTTACAGTTTCTTAAAGCCCCACTCCTCTTCTTCTGCTCCTCTTTAATTTTTTTATCTCTGCCTGTCATCTCTCTTGTTCTTCCTATCCGTTGCCTCCTCCTGCTTGTCCGTCTTTTCTTTCTCTCCCCCTCCTCACTCCACCTCCAAGTCTTTTGTTGCAGCTGTAAAACTTTTTTCCCTCCTCTTCTCCTGTCCCCAACCATCAACACCCCCCCCCCCCCCCTTTCCACGCTTTCTCCTCCTTCTCCCTCTGCATCTCCTCTGTACAACAGTCCCTGCAGCAGTCTGAGTCATGCCATGAGGAGTGGGCTTCTGCTTTCTTGAGACTCTGTAAAAGTGTGTGTTTTTAATGTGTGTGTATTTATTTGTTTGTTTACGTGGGTACATTTCTGCATAAGTGAAATTGTGTGTGGGTGTGTTTGTGTGGCAACATGCATCCTTGAAGTTGTTACTCTTCACACGTGTGTGTGCTAATGTGTTGACAGCTCTATTTTTTATGTGTTTCCTTTTGTATGGAGATTCATGCATATTTCTTCTGGTTTCTGTACGTATGTGTTTGCTTCTCTGCAGTGTGTATTTAAAAAAAAAAGTGTGTTCAGGTACATCTGCATCTCTCCTAATATCTTAATGCCCCAAAGGCACAAAAACCCTCCGTTTGTCTTGGAACGCCAGGGAATTGGTACAAGTGCAGATAATTGTCAGAAGTGTTTTGTTGTTATTGTTTGTCAGAAAAGCAATAAAGAACAGGTCTCTGCAAATAGAAAATACATAAATGAGCACAAAAAAAAATCCATATTCAACAGAAGAGAAACCGGCTCTGGTGATCCGTCTTAAGGCAGCTGCTGGGATGATCTATCACTAACCATTTATGAATGTTGAAAGTCTTTCATTTAAAACGATGGCCTTCAAAGCTTTGTTAAAACAGTGTAATGGGGCGCGCTGGTGGCACAATGGTTAGGGCGCGCATCCCACGTGTTGAGGCTGTCGTCTCGAGTGGTAGGCCCGGGTTCGCTTCCACCCATGGCCTCTTTCCGCATGTCATTCCCCGCTCTCTCCCTGGTTTCCGACTCTGTCCACTGTCCTCTCTCTGCATTAAAGGCACAAAAAAAAAATCTTAATGTTGGATACAGAAATATCTTTGTAATGCCTGACCAAGTTCCATGACCAACATAGTTTTTTTCTTTAAATCTTTATTGAGTGTATTCTTTATGAGGAAGCTCTAAACACAACACAACCTTTTCAAAACATGATGCTTCTATAAACCTAACTTGTTTGGAAAAAGATGATCATTTTCACATCCAGAAAATTATGATGAATGCAAGTCAAACACTCACTCTCTTTTTAGCTCTGTTTTGATCTATTCTAGCTCTCAAGGGAAATTGGTTTCTGTCCTTGTGTAAATGCTCTGCCACGTCGTCCAGCTAGTCTTTAACCTTGTGTGTCTGTATTTTGTTGTCGTGCAGGCAGGCACGGGTTAGGAATGCATAGGCCCTTGGGCACAACATCTTGGAGGCCCAGTCCCTCCATTACACACACACACATACACACACACACACACACACACACACACGCACTGTACTGTGATATTACTGTCACAGCTCTTTGCATCTGGGAAACATCTAATACAGGATTTACACACAAATTTGCTTTTAAAGGCTGCAGCCATTGAATACAATCTGAATGACAACAACTAGAGATAAGATTAATTTACAGTTTTCCAGAATGCATATAAGTAGACAGTTTATTAATTATTTTATTTTTAAAAGAAAAGGCAGGATGCTACAGGCGGGGATCTGCAGTTCACGTTTATTGAAACATATTTGAGCCTCAGAGCGAAACATAAACAAGCTGAAGAAAACTCCCGTATGAACACAATGCTGAGATCAAACACGCCCAGAAGGAGACCTTTTTAGAAAGGCATTACTCACTGATATATTTAGTTAGGATGAGTTTAATATTTCTATATTAATGTGTAAAATGTTACATATTATACAATTAAGCATTAAGAAAAAGCACATATAAAATGAGTTTCACTAAACAAAAAATATCAAAGTTTTGCATCAGTTATGCATAAATTAGTCAGTGGAAGACTTTTTTTCTGTGCACTTCTAATTATTATTATTATTATTTTCTTTTTACAGTTTTCCTTATTAAAAATCACCAAAGATTTTGCCCACATAATCTGTTATAACCTTTTTATATAATGTATAACATATTCATACTTTGTTTTATTATTAATACAGTTCAGAAGTTGAAAAAGCTTTGATCATGTATGAGAGAAGGAATCGCTCCGAGCAAGTGTGCTTTAATATCTTTTAAATATGGCTAGCCTTTGCTATTTCTTTAGCCCATTAATAGTTTGCTAATAAAATAAAGAAAGTAGAGCTGAGAGAAACTAGTCATTTACTGTGTAAACCAAAATCATACGAGGATTATTCATGTTCTTGCACGTTAGAATGATCTTCATTGCATTCCTTTGATTTCATTTTTTTTGTCTCAGCAAGTTTTTTTTATGAATCACTATTCATACATTGAACCTTCAAATGCTTTACAGATTTAAAACTGAAATTATGAACATTAAGAATTGTGACATAAAGAAAAAGTAAGACATTAAAGGAGCGACATCTGCTGAGTTAAATCATAAAATATTCTTTATTATTAGACATTTATCAAAACATGCTATGTTAAAGTGCTTCTCTGAAAACAATGGAAGAGCCATTATGTCCTTCTAAGTTTCGCTTATGGTCTGTTTTTGTTTTGAAGAGAAGGTAGACGTTTTTAAGGCAACCTCACGTGGCTGTTTTGGACGCCCCTTTGTGTGCAAGATATGGGACCAGTTCTAACTGCACAACAAAATAATACTTCGGTGGAAGCAGGCAAGCAAACTGGTTGGGATTTATCTGATTCTGCCTCTAAAAAGCCTCTGCGTTTTTCTAATAAGATCCACGGCCAGAAACGTGGTAAAACTAGGGTAAATACCTGAGATTATTTTGATAAATGGAGAGAGGTTAGAACGCAAAAAGGTTTCAAGACCGATGCAGAGCTGACTAAACACTTGAAGCTTCAGTGTCAGCTACATGACCAACCCTGTGTGCACATCGACTCTAAGGAGGAGACACGGGGGTAGACAGCTCTGTCTGTTTGAATCTGGACAGCAGTACCCATTTTAAACACTAGGTGTCAAAGTTACATGTTGCTCCTTTAACATATTAAATATATAAGAAAGCAGGATCAATAAACAAGTAAATAAATGGTGATACAATTACTTTGCCTTCCCTTCATTTATCGTCACTTTGTCTTGGTTTGCCTTAAATTCAGTCGTAGCTTCCAGAAGAAAGAACCTATAAATGCAGTTTTTTTTCTGTACTGTGGTGTACTTTGTGGAGGACATTAGTGTTTTATTTGTACGAGTGTTTGTTTACAAAAGTCTGCACACAAACAGTCCTTCTATTTGTCCCCTCCTATGTGTTCCTCCAGCTTCCCTCCAACCTCTCTCCCTGTCTCTTATCACCCCCCCCCCTCCATGTTTGCTGTTGTTTTCCCTTCATCTTATTCAATTTGCTTATTCCTCACTTTTGATCCTCTGTTCTCTCTTTTGTTCACATAACAGCCGCCCCTCTCCTTCTGTTGCCTCTCTGCCTTTCTTTCTTTGCCTGTCATATATGCCCACAATCCTGCCTCCATTATCTTCTCTCTGTAATTCCTTAGCTCTTCAGCTCCTCTCTGCCGCTCATGTAAAAGACAATCTTCTGATCCACAACACTCCATACATTGTTATTCTACACGGACGCTCGCTAAATTGCTGAGTGTCTATTTGGGTGCGTTTGTTCACAGAATCAATGCCTTTATGATTTGAGGAGATAATGATTGGCACAGTGTGGACAGAAGACAAACACGTGGATAAAATATAAAAGCATGTGTTTGGATGTATTTAGTACATGCTACTGGCTGGCACTGGTGAAAAGGTTAAACAAACATTTAAAAAAAACACCACTAATATATAAATATCAGTGTTAAAATACTCATCCCATGAAGAAAACTGCATGTTGAATTTGTAAGAAAGCAAGAATAGCCCCAGTAAGATTAACAGTTTTATTTGTTGTTCAGTTTAGCTCCAAATTCAATGTTCTCAACAGCAAGAATAAGCTAAGCTCTTTTTGGAAATACACCGTAACACAGAACGATGATTTAAATAGTGGTTTAGCATTTGATAGAAAACTGAACAAGGCTTCTATACTTCAGAGGTACTTTGATGAATAGGCCTTGGGAAACTCAATCTAAGAAAGAGAGTAGCTATACTGTTTGCACATCATCAGAGAGGTGCAGATGAATACTGCAAATACTGAATTTGATTCGCTAAGGATAAGTGGCTCTTTAGTGTTAGTGCAGTGGTTAGGTAAAAAACTTCCTCTGGTCCACTTCTTCCTGCACAAACGTAACCAATCTTACCCCAGTTTAATCAATTTAATAATAGAATAATCAACAGATACGTATCTCAGATATAAAATGTATCACTCATCAAAAATAATCGCAAAATCAAAAGGCTGTTTTGGCAGCGTGCAGTTCATCAGTTCATCTGACATCTACACCGTGGCACTAGTTTCAATTTAGAAACAATCACTCTTGTCGCTCATCATCTCATTGCAAAGAGACATCAGTATCAATTTCAGTCTTTAATTAAGAATAACTCCTCACATGAGATTCATTAATTGTTTGAAAGCTACGTTTTTCATTACTTTCCGACTTGTTGGAGTAAGGTGCCAGTTGTACTCACTGGAAGCAGTTTGAAAGTCATGCAACAATAATAATGAATGAAACCCCATAACAGACGTGGTCACTGATCTTACATCAGCAGTGTGACATTGAAGTTCAGACTTCAGAGAAACAGCCTATCATTGGGCCAATCCATCCTGTCGACTATTGATCGAAGTACTCAGTGTTGACCTGATCACTAAATCTAGTTTTGTCTCTCTTTACAGAAAAAGCCTCTGTCAGCCATCATTAAAGAAGTGTGCGAGGGGTGAGTCTGTCCTTTTTGATGTGTGATGATTAGAAAATACACACATAAATCCTACACTCTTAAGTTTCCACTTTTAATGCCTGTAATGTTTTTGTTTATGTTTTTCTCTTTCAGGTGGTCATTAGGGAACCATGAAAACTTTGCTCTGCAGATTGCTGACGCGACAAATTTCTACATCACAGAAAAGGTTTGTTTACCTTCTTTTAGATCCTGGCCGCAGCATACTGTACAAGGTAAAAATGTGTCTCCAGGTACCTACTAACACCAGCTTTTATTTTTGGAAAATCTCCACAGAATCGCAATGACATTAAGAACGGCTCCATCCTGCGCCTAACCACCTCCCCTGTAAGTTTCAAATCTCTGCAAAATGTTCTTACAGTTTCATAAAACCACTGATCCACAGTGATCACTTCTTTACACTAAGACCTTTTTATTTAAGCCTGTTCTATACGTTCAATGTGCTCTCTAGTACCAGACTGCAGTCCAGCTTCATGAGCGGATCCAGTCGTCCAGCATGGATGCCAAGCTGGAGTCTCTGAAGGACCTGGCCAACGCGTCCCGGGACATCACCTTTGCCCAAGAGTTCATCAACCTGGACGGCATTTCGCTACTCACTCAGATGGTGGAGAGTGGAACAGAGTAAGTTCTCCTGTTAAGCTGACTTTTTGATTTTCCTCTGATTACTGCATTATTATTTATGTGTCATAAAGAGAACAGTCCAAGGTTGGCACACAGGCTTCCAGTGGATTCCTGTTGTCAGCTATCGTCTCTGTTCCAACCAAAATGTAAAACTTGTAACTAATATATGATTCTGAGATTAAGTTACACATCTTTTTAGGTTAGATTATAAATTAGTCCCTGATGATGTTTGATTTAATGGAATTTCTTTCCCACCTACAGAAGTCTGAGAGCAAATCTCAGAGGGCCCATAGAGTTACACTGTGCATTCTGATTGGCTAAGTTTAAAAAAAGCTGATTGACCTGCTCTACTGTTGTTTTAACTCAACGTATGCTTTTACATCAGGGGGTACAGCTTGCACACTTTGGTAAAATTTGTACTGAACATATATTGTTCAGCATACTTTGGAAATTGGATACTTCCTCTGCTACACTGCCGATATCAGCCCATCTTGCTCGAATATTATTATCAGCACACAAAGTCACTCAGGGTCCTAATTGGAAGATTTGTTTTGTCTATACTGGAAAGAACGCTGCTGCCCTGATTTGATCTCCAGCTCAGCCGTAAACCCCCCCCCCCCCTCACACTCTTAAGGTGTCAACTGAGTGTGTTACTGCTAGGGGAGAGAAGAAGTGGCCTGTTAAAAACATGCCCAGGAGCTCATGTTCGCCTTTGTTGCACATTGAAGTGATAAAACCCACACCCACACAAAATAAAACAGAAAGCTGTGCCCTGCTTTCTGACTGTTCAGCAAAACCAAAAAGTCACTGCGTGTGTGTGTCTATGTGTGAGTGCCTGTGAACGTGTGTGTCAGTGAGGGCCCTGGAGACCGTCTCAAACTGAAGGTTAAAGCGAGGACCTTTTTACGCTGAGGTGGAATTTCTCAGCCGTGATACCAGTGGGAGATGTGCTTTTCTGTGTGTGTGTGTGTGTGTATGTAGCATATTGTGTGAGTGCAAGACTTCAGCCACTGTACAAACCCAAAGGAAAAAGTACAGTAGGAGTTGAAACATGCCTACAGACATACGCTTTAAACTGGCAGGGAGGGCACTCTGGTTTCTCTGCCTCATGGCGCTCTCATTATGCATCCTTTTGACCGAGAGAGAATAGATAGATTGAAGAAAATAAGCCAGGTCCGAATACACATTCAGGCATGTTCAAACAAGGTCAATTATGCTCTAACTACAGCACAGTAAAAAACCAGACTCTTTTCACATGCCTCAATGTTCTGCATGTATATAAAGGGTCGCACTCCGGTCAACTATTTAATACCTCCTTCTCAGCAGAAGCCTCGTAATGATCTCCTATTTCTGTCTGTGAGGCAGCAGCACATCTAGCATTACACTCACTTTCATTGTTTGACAGGAAATCATTAAACCATCTCCCCCCCTCTTTATTTGCATATACTGTTAAAATAAGCAAATATTTGACTCTGTTTGAAGGAACCGTCGCTGTAGCAGCAGCAGCAGCAGCAGCACTGATGTCGATTCTGCTCTGCGTCTGGCTCCTTCATTTAATATGTTTCTATGTAAATTACCATCACATCAAGTATTCAGTTCTGGAGAGTTTAAAAGTGGCATCTGTACGCAAGAGAGAGCGCTGCGTTTCCATCTCAAGAGAAGGAGCTTATGAAACGCACACAGATAGGTATCAGTGTCTAACACACACACGCTCATTAGTGTGCTTGCCAACCGACTTGGTGAACTGTAATTATTCAAGAGGCTCAGCGCTTGAAACTCTTGAGGACAGAGCGGTGCTGTGATCTAAGGCTTCTGCCAGAGATGCTATATTGTATTCATGTGAAAATCAGTTGGCCAGCTGCTGCTGCTGCTGTTGTTGTTGTTGCCCATGTGAGCTCCAGCAGCTGTAAAGCAGACATCGCCCTCTACTGGCTAAAATATCAAACTATATGTGCTATGCTTAGACACAGTAGGTGTTCAGAATGTACAGTGCATCTTCAAACACTCTATTTAAGGTGTTTTTACTTATTTAAGTTTTATTCAAGTTGAAGAGGGGTTATATATTTTGTTTTAAAGGTTTGGTTCCCCTCAATAAACTTACCTGTATGGAGAGGATCTAATGGGGGGCTTCTTCTTTTGTTTTTTTGTAGTTAACCAGTAATGGGGAAACTCGAGGAACTGCAGTGTTTTGCACATCAACATTTGACTTAATTTTCCAGCATGGGATTGCTGCTCGATAGGAACACTTTGTGGGGGCATGTCGGCTAGCATCCTCCTCCTGAACAACAATATCTGTCCATTTCCAATGTCCAAATAAACATTGATTTATTGTGTCAAAGAGAGAAACTTGCTTCTTTTCCTATAGAAATATTATTATATCATTTTTATCCAGCTGTATCCAAAGGTATGGGGACTCTGGTTTATATCATTCTCTTGTAATTCCTTTTTTGCAAGCAGCTTACATTATTTTAAACAGGTAACTGTCTTTTTTGATAATTACATTTTTTTTCTTCATTAAACTAACGGCCTTTTTCTTATTAAAGAAATGATCCCAGGGTGTCGCATGAAGCATGTAGAGTAACAGGTACTCTGAGAATACACACTATTGGTAGCGCTTCAAGTACATTTTGAAGCTCAGATTCTTTTCATTCTGAATGCCATTGTATACTCATTTACAAATGATTTAATTGCTGCAACATGCAGTATGCTGCATGAAGTTAACACAGCTCACAACATGTATAAAAAACAACGTTTTTTCTATTTTGGGTGCTTTCAGTACTAAAGTGTTTTGATTTGTGTTCAATGTCATCTCTACCAACGTGAATGACGGGAAGGTTTGCAGCATTAATTTGCCTTTTGTTTTATTTATTATTTATGTACCACTTTTTAAATATCTGAATAGGTTTACTAGTTTATAATGAATCAGTGATTTTAAGTTATGTTGTGTGAAATGGTATTTCTGTTTGCTTTATTCTAAATATAAAACAACCTGATGTTTAATGTATTTAACTTACTTCTTCCTTCAGGGACTTTTGAGTGTTATTTTGACCAGGTTGTGATGTGTGTTGGAACAGACTGAAAGATTTTGTTGGTTTTTGTTTGACACCAAAGTTTCTCAAATCTTTGCAGGCGTTATCAGAAACTACAGAAGATTATGAAGCCCTGGTAAGCCCATCCCCTTTCCCCATCAGCTGGGTAACCTCATTGGCTCTGTGCTCTTCCTAACCCGCTGGCCATGTCTGCATGATTAAGACTTCAGCCCCAGTGCCTCATGGGAAAATAGAACAACACAGCCCTATACCAGCTTTTACACTAAAACAATTTGCATGGGGTTTGGGGTAACGGACTCAAACAACTTCCTTGTTCTTCAACGCTCTGAAAGAAAGCCAAGATCTAATTCTGAGAACAAAATAAGGAATCTGTTTAAATCAATGAATGTGTGTGGGTTAAAGCTCAGATTTTATTTGTGCGTCTCTTTTGAGCTTTACCTGAATTAAATCTTTGCTTTCTTAACAAAAGTGTTCTGATCACGGTGATTGTCCATGGACTCTCTTTGAGCCACTGGTTAATCTTCTTTTCCTACATTTTTAGCCTTCTCAAACAGAGGAACACAATTTATCCATCAACAAAGTTTCCTTTACTCTATCTGCTGTAACTATTCTTTACCCCGCCTTTTTCTTCATATCCATGCAGCATTATACAACTGTCAGTCATCTTAATGCTAATGTCAATCTGCTAAAGCTTTAAGTCCATTTGACGGTTTGCAAATCAGCTTCCACGCAGCAACACTAGGTGCATATAAAGGTTTTAAGCACCCAAAATGTCGTGTCTCATCATTTTTTTCCTTATTAGATGACGAACGCCACTTCAAACGTTTTTTCTCTGTTTTGCAAACTTATGTTAACATTCATTATCAAATCTGAAACTGCATCAGTAGATCCCAACTTAGATTTAAAGCTTAGATTTTTAAGAGATCTTGGTATTTTACATGTAATGGTCTATAAAGGAAAACAGGTAGAGGCAGGTTGGTTGCAGTGCCAGTCTCAACCAGTAGAGGGCAGTATTGCAAAATCGAATCTAATTGAATCTTTTTTAAATTGCTTTAAATTGTAACACAAATTGTACAAGCAGCTTATTTCGCCCCGTTTTTTGCAGGGTAAAAATTCAATTTGTTTGGGAGGGTTAGGGGATTGACATGCATCAACGGTCGAGGTTGGATTCCAACCCTTAGACGCTCCGGCGCCCTAAAATGCATAATTTTTAATAGGGTTCTCATTTAGTACTTCCATTAGTATCCGTTTGTTGGATTTAACAGCTGTTTAATGTGTTTCCTGCTTCGGCCTCCTGTGACTCTGCAGAGTTCTGTACTTTTCCTGATGTTTGTGTAACTGCATGACTTCATTTTAATGTAGCTTTCTGGTCCTGGTTGAACTCTGCTCTGTGCTGCCCGGCCTCCTGCTGGCCTCCAGCTGCTTCTCTACAGCTCATCTGTCTGCGCTGCATTGCAAAACCTCTTTTCCAATTTCTCTGTGTCTGTTTTCTGCCTTCTTCAGCAAGCCTGGTCGCAGCATTAAACTTTTTTTCCCCTGTCCCCTTTTCCCCTCTCCGTTCCTGCTGACCGCTCATTCCTCTCTTAAATCCGAGCCAAGCCCAGGCTTTCAGCTTCATGTACTGGTCCAGACCATCTGCTGGAGACAAGTTTCCTATTGTATATGTGTCTGTGTGTGTCGTTTTGTAGTTTTGGAGACCTGCTGTCCTTCACTCTGACGGCCTTTGTGGAGCTGATGGACCACGGCATCGTCTCCTGGGATACATTCTCTGTGGCCTTCATCAAGAAGGTCAGCCAACAAAATGTGTCACATTACAGGGCAGGGATTTAAGAGGGACTTTAAAAAGCTGCTTTTATACACAATATATTTGCTGGAAAAGTTTTAATCACACAGTTACATAATGTCTTTGATGGATGAATAAGAGGTTTACATTTTAGTATTTGGTCCTGAAACAGTCATCGAGCTTGGAAGTATTTTGGGAAAATCTGATTTAGATTTATAAAAGGTTGTAAATGGTAAACAGGGAACTTGTTTGCAAGCAGGTGAATGTATATTTACAACTTTCTTTGAGGAGTATTTCTATACTGATAAGTAGTCAGGGAACTTCAAGCTGCGTTCATATGTTAGTGTTGTGACATTTGAGTTTGTAAAAGGCAATAGAGATACTTGACATGCAGGAAAGAAGCCACAGGACGCATTCGAACCTAGGCCGCCTGCTTGGAGGACTATAGTCTCCCTACATGGAGAGCTACTGGCACCCACATGTTTAAAAAAACAATGTTGACCTTAGTATATAAACGAAATTCACGAAAATATACAAGTACAATACAAAATACCACAGACACAAAAACACAAAAATCCTGTAAATCAGATGAGAAACAATAATATAGAAAATAAAAAGACATGATGGGTACAAAGTTACTTTTGAAACACAATTTAGAAGTTGATAAGATGGGGAGGGAGGTGGTAGCTTTTACAAGTATCTGAAAGTGCAGACAGGCTGTTTGACCTTTCTTTTATATCCCATTGTGACATAGGGAACCATTCTTTAGCTGTATTTTATTGTTTTTCAGTATTCCCACATCTTCTTATTGATGATTTAGTGTTTCCTGCAGGTCTTTTCATGTCTCTCCTGTTCTGTCCCTGCTGCAGATTGCCGGCTATGTGAACAAATCAGCCATGGACACAGCTGTACTGCAGCGGTCGCTGGCCATCCTGGAGTCCATGGTGCTCAACAGTCAGGATCTGTACCACAAGGTGGCGCAAGAGATCACAATTGGACAGCTCATCCCACATCTTCAGGGGTAAGCGAATCAGCACACTGCTTGAATGAACTTTAATTATGCTGACTTATCTTTGAAACAATCATGATGCATTTCAAACCGCAAAGTTTGGCACTTATAAACTATGAAATAGAATCATGTTTGCTGTTTTTCACCCCAATTTCAGAACTGATCAAGACATTCAGACCTACACTATTGCCGTCATCAATGCTCTCTTCCTCAAAGCTCCAGAGGAGAAGAGACAGGTGAGGGACACAGCACAAATACTGCATATATCAAATAATTTCTCATTGTATCATGTATCATTTCATGATACTCTACATGGGATATTTGTATATATACAGTAGTTTCACTGTATTCATGTATTGTGTGCTTTCTGTGTCTTTTGTTATGAATGCTTCTCGCAGATACTTCCAGTAAAATCCAGGAGAATGATGTTGATTTAAAATGAGCAAACCTCCTCATGCCCCACTCCCCAAACTATCACTCCAACCCTCTCTGCAGAAGTCACTTTTTTTTTTTCTTTTTCTTTTTCTTTTTTTTTTTTTACAACAATTCACATATCTTCCCTCATCTCTCTTTCCTTTTCTCTCCAACACCTCTGCCACGCTGTGCCCTGCAGACAATCGCATGATGCCTTATAGCAGCACCATAGGGTCCAGAGATGTGCTGTGACATTAATTATAAATGCTGTTAACCCACAGATTTTCTTTTGGATGCAGTGTACGAAGTTGAAGGCATGCTTTGCGGGGGAAAAAGCCTCACAGCAACTCCACATACAGATTGTAGCACAGTCAGAAGTTGCAGAACTTCTTGTAGGATCCCAAGGGTCTTCTTTGAATCAGATTGAAGTGGTTGGTTGCCGGAAATTTAAAGTAACTTTATATATACATAATTTATAAGTGACTATTTTCTTCTTTTGCTAAGATGCAGACAGTTTAATTTGTGCAGAGAGACAGTTTTATGATGCAAAGTTAAAGGGACAGCATCTGTTCTTTTATATGCAGACGACACACTTAAATTCATGCAAGGGGCTAATAATACTGTGTCTCTAAAGGACACTTACTGTGCATGTGTGATTCTGTGATGTTTGTGAGGACTCGACCATCAATAAAGCTATTATTAGGATCCCCCAGTCTCCCACCATTCTGCTGACTCCATTACCTTCCCCCTTTTTTTTCTTCCACAAGCTGCACCACTGACAAAAAAATGTTGTTTTTTACCTCCCTGCGCAGACGCTCTTCTTCCCTCCCCTCCCCACATCCACATCCACTCACTCAGTCACTCAGTCACTCACCTCTCCGTCTCTCTGTCTCTGACTTTGTCTCCTCACTGCACACGATATGGTAGTTTGATGAGCACATTGTGGACATCCTAAATTGTCCCCTGACAGTAAGTGCACCCTTGATTTAGCACACTTTGTAGTTTGCACTGTAGAAGAATCAGTAAGTGCATTTAGTGTTTACTTTTTTAAGATTCTTTTTGGGATGGCTTTTTCATTTTTTCCCGGCCTAGAACTGCTTTCTTTGCAGTGGCATTTTTCCCCCCTCTTTCATTTCTCATATATAATTATAGCTAAAGGAACCATGAAAGTATTTGAGTGATAAATTGTTGTGTCTCATTTCTATCTTTCTAACTGTCTTTCTATTATTATTTCTCTTTCTCCATCTCTTTCTCCCTCTCTTCTTTTGTTTCTCCCTCTGTAGGAGATGGCCCACATTCTTGCCCAGAAGCAGCTGCGTTCCATCATCCTCAGTGTAAGTCTAACGATGCCCCTCTTGCCATTTCTGTGTCTCCTCCTCTCTATTTTTTTTATCTTTGCTCAGGTTTATGTCCCTTTCACCAGAGTGATATAAGAAATGAAAATGACACCTGACACTTCTGCCTCTGTCTCACATCACTGCTTATTATCTACTGTACTTACTTTCTCACACATGTGCTCCTTTCTCCGTCTTTCACTCTCTCCCTTGTGTCAAATACAATTCTGCTTCTCCTGTTCCATCATCTGACGTATTCTCTCTAATCCTTATCATTCTCTCCCAAATCCTCTTATTCTCCTTTGTTATCTTGTTCCGTCTCATCCTTCTCACCTCCGAAACTTCGTCATCTCTCTCCTTCACCTTCTTCTTTCATATCTTAACACCTCCACTCCCTTCTATATCTTACTCTCTCTCTCTCTCTCTCTCTCTCTCTCTCTCTCTCTCTCTCTCTCTCTCTCTCTCTCTCTCTCTCTCTTTCTCCTCTACATTCTCTGTTTGTCCTTCACACCGTGCAGAATGTGATCCGGAGCCCCACACCCATCAATGATGAGATGGCCCACCAGCTGTACGTGCTGCAGGTGCTCACCTTCAACCTGCTGGAGGACCGCATGATGACCAAGATGGATCCCCAGGACCAGGTGGGGGGCTGTGAATGATGCAGCAGGAAGGGTTTTGGTGAACAATTGAGGAATGGATGAGTGGATGAAGGAATTAACTAATTGGTAGACGTCAGAAAAATTAAGTATGGACATAATTATCTGAAAAGCAATTTAGAACAAATAGTAATAGTTTGGCTAAGTTTGTTGTATTCATTAGATACAAATCATATCCATGGACAGTCAAGGCATTTTGTTCAAGTGACTTAAAAGCAGTCAGAAGGCATTGCATGTTAACAAAACAAAAAATGAGCCCTTCAATTACAGCTTCAAACTTTTTGGGGCGGCAGTAGCTCAGTCTTTAGGGACTTGGGTTTGGGACGCCGGTTCAAGTCTCGGTGTGGACCAAAAACATGGAAGTTGATCTGGTTGCTGGAGAGGTAGCAGGTCACTTCCAGAGTACTGCAGAGATGTCCTTGGACCCCCCCCCCCCCAACAGGTCTGGTGCACTCCCTCAAAGCAGTGTGTAGAAGCCCTACTCTGACATCAGCCATTGGTGCATGTCCGCAGGTCCTGTTTGTGCATGTGTGTGTGTATTGTGGGCCTATATGTGTGTGAAGCATGTCTCACAATCACAGAGTGTAAACCAGAATTTCCCCTCAGGGATTCATAAAGTATGTAAAAAATATCTGCATTTATAGGTTTTTAACAGAGATGCTTTATAGGAGTTTACTTTAACAGCTACATTGATTTTATAAGCAATCAATCTCGATACATAAAGTAATAAATAAATAATCTCCTGATGAAGACAGTTTTCTATGACTGTATGTATCCCAACCCAAAGAGCACCTCAAACATTTCCTTTTTTTCAGCCCACAAAGCGCTCCCCCTGTATAAGACAGCAGGGCATTAAAGTTTTAAACAAATGTCAGTCAAACATGAGGAATGTTGTAATGGATGGAGACTGTTTTCAGCAGGGGAATGATGCACATTTTGTGGGAATTTCTGACAGCAGTACAGTGAATGTGGGATGACATTAAAAAAAACATCCAGTGCTCCTGTTAACAAAATGATGGAACATGTCACTCAGTACAATGACGTGGCGTTTGGATGACATTGGAGCTAGATGGTACAGAAAATACAAATATCAATGGATACTTTTTCTAAAAAACCTCTTGTAAGGAATAATTATTCGGCTACGAAACTAATCTAATGATCTCTTTTTATGTCCAAAAACAGCAAGAGGTTATCAAGACAATGGGCGACAAGATTAACTATTTCTACATCACGATTTGTGATCACAGCTGTCACAAGGTGGATGACTGACAAGAAGAGTGTCAAAACTGCCTTTATTGACATTTTCCACTGATTGGATTTTAGATCAGTGATATATTAGACTGAAAGCAGAGTTGATTTTTTTATATAACAAAACTTTCACATGTACAGAACAGGACATGGTGTACGGCTTTGTCAACAGAGGGTGCCAAAATCCACACTTATCAAAGGTTCCTCACTGGAGCTTTAAAATGATAGAATAGCTAGACAGTGTTAATAAGCAATGCCTGTCTACTTGTTGCTGCTTACATAAAACATTTAACCTCAGACTTTACAAACATGCAATCCCCATAAGATATTTTCGAGTAAACATAGAGGTTCATCTCATGGAGGAATTCTGCACCAGGACAGCATGATGCAGCTGCTGGAAGAAAATAACCATCAATCTTATATTCACCAGCTCCTGGACAGCTTGGACGTGATCCTGCCAGGTTTTAAAACAGTAATCCAGCTTTTTCATGTAATAAAACAGTTGAGAGAAATAGCTCAAGGCCAGATTGCACTGTGAGACCCCCAGACAGCAGAGCTGAGGTCGTAGAAAAGTTGAATAATAAATGAAAGAAAAGACAGATGGATTTAAGAGCGGCACTTTAATATTCCTCTCCGTGTGTGTGTTCAGGCTCAGAGGGACATCATCTTTGAGCTGCGGCGGATCGCCTTCGACGTGGAGTGTGAGCCGAACAACAGCGGCAGCATCGAGAAACGCAAGTCCATGTACACGCGCGACTACAAGAAGCTGGGATTCATTGTGAGTTGGGGAGATGTTGGACGGACAGTATGTGTTCATGTGCGTGTGAATGAAAAGGATTTAAATTCATTAACATAATTCATACACACAAATGAAAGAAAAGAACAGCTTTGGCAAGAGGTGCACAGTAGAAAGAGTACATTTTGTTGTGTGTCGCTCATAACTAAGCCCACCAAGCTACTAAGCTTAGCTTCCAATCTATCTCTTCAAAATAAAAATAAAGCTAAAACAGACGAGGAAGGACTGTTAAACTTTATGAAAATGCATTTAGATGTTTTCATTCAAGTCAGCCCTGGCTCTTTCTCATACATCCCATTATTCTGTGTTTCCTCCTTTAGGCTTTTTAATCTCCTCACACTAACACTTTCCCTAAATGCATTCTTTCACTACTTTTTTCTCATTCCTTCATCTCCCTACCCATAAGCGTACATTTAAATACATTGCATATGTATGTTTGTGTGTGTCTTTGTGTTGTAAGCAATAGTCTAACTATAGCACAAGAACTTGAACTAACCCCTCTGTGCCGTGTTATAAGCTCCGAGCTGGTTCGGGCTCTCCACTCTCTCTCTCTCTCTGCAGTGTGCTCAGTGAAGATAAGGACAAATGGGCTGCCTTGTCTCTGCTAGTGTGGTGAAAGCCCACCTTAAAATCCTTAGTCAGCGTTACACACTAAACATCCTGCACACACACACAGACACAAAAGCAGTCTGCAGAAACATTTATACAAACCTTACTTCTCTAGATGGACATTATTGCTGCCTAAATAATTTGTTTGCACATGCTGGAAAAGTTTTCACACTTTAAAATGAGGGTGTTTTTTTTTTTTTTTAAGATATGCATGTGCCTGGGTGTTTTAAGTCTGTGGGTCTGCTTCCTGTCAGGCAGATTTACAAAACTGATGAGCCAGACCTCCGTGTCCTCCAGTCCTCTTTCATCCTCTTTTTTTCCCTCCCTCCTCTTACCGCCACTATCCTCCTCAACATCCTGTCTCATCTGTTTAAACTCAAGATGAGCGTCAGACTGATGTGTTTGCATGCGTTTCTGTGGATTAAATCATTAGTGGAGTGAATTCTCTGAAATATCTGGTGGGAATTAAGTATGATAAACTGTGACAGCCGGGCAGCATTAATCAGCAGATCTCATGTAATATTTAGAGTGCATGCGACGAGGTGGTGTAGAGGCTCTGGGAGCAGGCTTGTTTTGCAAACTGATTATGTTTATTCACATTTTTGGTATTTGTTGCTTATAGAAATCCTATCATTTTATACTCTAGTATTTCTTCATGCATCATCAAAATGTCAGCCTTTCATGAAATAGAAAGAGCCTAATTTTAAGCATCTGTGCTTCATTTATAGCTCAATGAGTATTTTGGGCATTTTTTTTTTCTGTGGAAGAAACAGGAAATGCTCTGAATAAGAAAATTATAAATGCTTCTTTAGTTTGTCTGGAAAGCTAAAAATGAACAATGATTGTCTGGACAGTGTCCATAAAAAAAATCCATAACTGCCAAAGATGTGTTGAACTTTTGTAATTATTTCCCTGCCAGCAGGGTTTGTTTTGGTCTGCGTTTAAAGAGTAACTCAACCCACAGGCCGCTTTTTTTTGGGTGTTGGCTTTGTAACTGAGGTTTTCTTTTGTTAAATGCTTCTTTTGGCTGCAGAGAACTAAAAAGGTTCATTATACCAAAACAAACAATGCTAAAAAACTCATTTGTTATTGTGTGTTTAGGGTATGTCTCACTAACCTACCCCTCCTCCTCCTCCTCCTCCTCCTCTCTCTCTCTGTCAGAATCATGTGAATCCAGCTGTGGATTTCACTCAGATCCCTCCGGGCATGCTGGCTCTGGATAACATGTTGTATTTTGCCAAGCACCACCAGGACTCCTACATCAGGGTGAGCATGCACACACACTTTCATATGCAGACACACCAACACACCCTCCAAATGTAACCCGTCAGCTGCTGAAATGACTGGGATCATCCACATAATTAGAAGGACTTTTTTGCCATTTAGATTTTATTAATGTTTTTTGGCCTCTAAACAGAAGGTTACGAGGATTTGTGAGGTCAAATTATCACCAAAAGCTTCTTGTGTAATGGAGATAGTTATGGAGAAATGACCTTCAGTTTGACAAACTGGGAGGCACTTTGGTTATAAATATATATCAAATATATTTACATTTATTCAAAGTGCATTGAGAATCAGCATACCTCTTCCGAGGCCTCCCAGTAATTTGGACGTATTTTTTATGTATGAGATGCTTTTAAAAAGTGCCTACCTCATACATCTGAGCTTTCCTGTCTTTGGCACTCCTGTCAAAAACAGCCTGAGGCAGACAGCAATGCACATCATTACCACCTGGTGACACTTATAATGAATGGGCAGAAAGCAGCAAAATGCAATACCTCATTAATATTCAACTCGTAGAGGCTGTAATCTGCATCTTTATCCAGACTGATACTGTAAGATGTTTTCATTATCACTTTAACTGCATTTATTTTAAGGCTTTAAAGAGAACTGAGTCATAAGATCTTGAGATCCTGATATCTGCTGTCTTTGTTGTAGATTGTCCTGGAGAACAGCAGTCGAGAGGACAAGCACGAGTGTCCGTTCGGCCGCAGCAGCATCGAGCTCACCAAGATGCTCTGTGAGATCATGAAAGTGGGCGAGCTTCGTAAGTCTGCACTCTTTGCTCACTAATTGTTCTTCTTCGACTCACTTCTTTATCTTTTTCAGAAGGAGTGTATAGACAGTAAATTAAAACATTTCAGGCACTCGTTTTCTGACAGAGCTGACTCTTGTTATGTGCACAAAAATGTAAACATGCACATTATTACTAGACCACACATCCTGTTCAGATGAAAACAGCCTTTATACTCAGTAATTGTGCTACTGGGAGTTCATTGTTTAGTTCAGTGATGCACCTCGGCCCTGTTGGGCTCCTTTCAGCAGAATAAATACCGCCTCTGGGAGACGCATTGTACTGAGAAAGAGATGCAGAGCCCATGTCCACTCTAAATTGATTTGACCTTTTCACTTGTCTTAACTTGTTTAAATGGGCGAGTTGGACTCAGCTCGGCTGCAGACTGACCCCCGCTGCTCCCCGTTAGGATGAAGGCTGTGTTCTTAGCTCAGTTTCAAACTGCTGTGCCCTTTTCCTCTGCTCACAGCAGTTTTTCATTCAGGATTTAGACCTCGCTGCACTGCAGGCTATTCAGTCTGTCTGCAAAAGACTCTATTCAATAAACGAACGGTGTCCTCTTCTTTTTAAAATGCAGAGAATTGTCTTCCAGATTCTATCTGTTCTGAACATTGCCAATAAAAAGTAACAGGCTAGGTTTCAATAGAAGATAAGAAGGTGCTGTAACACTTTTACGTTTCTAAGCGTATTATCATTTTCCTGTCCTTTTTTTGATATGCTCTTATCTCTGCCAGACTGCACACAAAATATCTCACACTTTCTCCCCGTCCACTTTGGAACATCTAGTCGGCAAAGTCAAAGATGAATGCAGATATTGTATTTTAACATTCAAGTATTTTTGCCAAGTGCAGTTACCAGACAGTCGTCCTTGATCTCTCATAAAGTACTCTGAGCTTTGGATGTTCCATATTTCAAAATCTGCATGTTGTTGTGCTTCTACTTTTGCCTCTTGTGTTTTTTTTTTTTCACAGTGTTCTCATGTTGTTTTCCTTGAGTGTCTCGTTCATTTTATATCCAAATATACTCCACTGCACATGCCCTTTGGATCTCCTCCCATAGCTGACTGAAATGGCTCCCCTTTATGTTTCTCTTAGAAATACCACTTCAGCCCCATTCTCTTCAAAATGCAGATTAAGCAAACCCCAATACTAGGACTATCTTTATCTCTGAGGATTTTGTAAGCACAAAGAAGAGGGTTTATGCAATAGAGCTAAATAACCCAGGATGAACGCCAGGACATCGTCATCGACCATGACACTTTGTTTTGGAGAGAGTTGCTTATTGGAATAAGTGGAGCTGGTGCAAGTGCAGGACTTCACACAACTTGTTCAAACAAATGGAAAATGCAATGCACTTTTTTTAGGGCGTTATTTTTGTTTGCTTTTTACAAATTCTTACCCAGAAATTGCTGTTTAAAAATGTCTCTGCCAGGCTGAATGCTTTAGCTGCATCCTAGCAGTAACCTTGACTCAGAGCTCTGAGCTGTTTTATTCCCAGCAGCTGGATGTTGTCCTCTTTACCGAGGCTGTTAGTCCAGCAGGCTGAACCTTCATTTAATATTGAAGAGGCTTTGAACTGTGTGTATGTGCGTTTATGTATACGCGTTTAAGATGAGGGTCAGATCAAATGTTTATATGAGGCGAATCAATAACCTGTGTGATAAAATGAATGATCTGCATGAGATGCCGTCTGCTGCCATAATATCAGCACACACATATGGTGAGGATATGTCAGGATTCATATATGAAGAAGTAGGTCATCTGCTGTAAAATGAATACACACACAATAAAGTCTCTGAGGACAGGAGAGGAAAGACAACATTGTGATATATTTACATTTTCGGCGCCCCAAATCATAATGTCCCCATCTGTCTTTGTCACAACTCCTGTGAACATTTGGACAGACTCGCACACCGCAGAGCTTTACATGCGTCTTATGGGACGAAGCTGGTGTGTCTCAGAGACGTCATGAGCTACACTGCACTGAGAGTTAAGTGCATTTTCATCCACATCCTATTAGCCCTGTCTATATGAACACACACTAATGAATATATGAGCGAGTGAAACATGGGTAAGGCAGGTGTTGTAAGTGCTCTGTGAGTAATTAGGGGTCATTAGAAAAGCTATGTGTGTGTGTTGGTATAATGTAGGGGCATGAAAGTAGGAAGAGAAATGAGTCTGAGCTCACCTCCGACTGTCATCATTCTGCTGACCTATCAGCTTTGAAACGATGACACACCTGATGCTAACGACGATGTTGGAGGGAGAGTCTGCGTGTCTCTGAAATGTTTGATCAGTTTTAATAGTGTGGTGTTTGAGTCAGAGTAATGTTAGAAACTGTGCTGAATTATTTGTGGTATATTGATATTTCAAGCTGCTTTTTCCCCTCTCTTCTCTTCTGTTCTTCATAGAAAGTGCCAGATAATGGGGCTGACATTTTCAGTCGGTCAGTGGGTTGAACCCACTTCAGTCCAGGATGAAATATTTGGATAAAGCTTGCTTTGGATTCTGTACAGATATCCTCGTATCTTAAGGATGAAATCGTATAACCATTATAATATTTGGTAGATGTATTCATTGATCATATACAATACATCCAAATGACCTTATTCATCCCCTCTTCCTCTTGGAAAACTCAACATTTTGTCTTTTTCATTTGAAAAAGCTAAAAGATAAATATAAATCTGTTAATATCTTTCCTGTCATACAGAGCTGTTAGCGTGGAGGTAGACTCTTCATCAAGTTTCGCACTTCATAAAACCTAACGGCTGTCATTTGAATATTTCATCCTGTGAATCACCTAACTGCTGCAGGAGAAGCAAAGCGTGCTAAAGCTAGGTGTTTATAGCCACCGAGGTAGTTGTACCCTTTAAATGTTTCAACGTGCAACGCAAACACAGCGAAGCGCAGCAGCTCATGGATGTCGAAAACTTAATTAAAGCAACAAGAACACAAGCACTCTGAAGCTCTCCATTAAAAAGTCATAGCTGTCTTTCTGAAAAAAGGTTTCTATAAAAGTACTCTAAATCCCTGGTGCAGGAAAACAGTTCATTTCAGCTTTTCTTTTATTTATTTATTTTTATATAAAGTTCCCCCCTTTTCTTGTCCCTGCTTCGCTCTATGTGGATAAAAGCAGAAGAAAAGAGACAGCGGATTAATGGTGACGGCAGTGATGTCTTAGTGGCTCATTTGCTCTGCCCGTCTGTGTGAAATGCCAGTGTGGCTCTGACAGAGGCCAGACACTCGATTCATGTTTTCTCACGGGGATGAAACCCTGACGGATGCTGTTGAAGTTGCTTCTCTTCCCTCCTTCGCCTCTTCAAGCTCTCTTTCTAGATTAATTTCCCTCATTCTTTATTCCCTCTTTAATGCTTCTCCCCCTCTCTCTCGGTGGGTCTTAAGAACATCTGTGGCTCTCAGACTTGTAATCCCTTCTCATGCTTTCCTGCAATGATTTCCTCTTTTTCTGTCTCGTGCATTTGACGAAAATGACACAATTACACAAGCAGAAGCATCTTATTTCAACTAAATGACTGTGAAGGAGGAATCTCACACGACAGATGTTTTGCCGATCTTTCAGGTCAACAGATTATCTTCCATACTGCTGCTCCTTTCAGCGGTTGGAGATGTTCTTAGATTTTCCCTTTTGGTTGTTGTCGCGATAACTCATTTTCATGCAGATGTGTTGGTGGAGGAAAGGGGTTAAGGGAGCTTGTTTATTTGAGTTAGCTGCCAGTGCTGCTAGATTTTACATAATTCATGACACTATCCAGGTGTCACTCTCTCTCAGTTTCCCCTCTCCATCACCTTCTTCCATTAATTCAGACCCTTTCTGTGTCTCCTATTTATCCTCGCCCTGCGTCAGATCCACAAAGATTAATTGTCTCTCCATGTTTCTGCGAGAACACAGACTTTAATGGCATCTTGCTCTGTGAGGCGACTTTCCTGTTTAAGCCGGCCCATAGAATATTTATGAAGTTATTTAAAAGGGCCTGGCATGCTGAGTAATGGCCCTGCTTGGTGATTCACTGTGGGGCATCTCGTCGCTGAGATGGAGGGCTGGATGGCGGGACATGGCAGGTCCAGGCGTGGACACACACACGCACACAAACACTCACACGCTAGCAGACAAACACATTAAACGCAAGTGGAGACAGGGGCTTTACATGTACAGACACACACAAACACCCACACACACACACACACACACACACACACACACACACACACACACACACACACACACACGTACAGGCAGGTCTGGGCAGGCTTCAGACTGACAGTCACATGATGTGCTTATATTTCTAGCTGTGCCGAGAGCCACCAGCCAAGGTCAGAACAAAGGTTCATGTTCAGCACCACAGACAGCTCCGTTTTTTAACACTGTACAAAATGCAAAACATCATGTCTGAATATTTGAATGTATTTTCTGTTTAGGTGTGTGTTTTAAAATAGTGTCTCTTCTCAAGGTTACTGTTCGATACATCTTCATCTTTAGTTGTTCAGTTTTTAGTCTTCATGAGAAAATTATTCAGAACAGGATGAAGCATGAACACACGAGTGAGTTTAACATATTGTTTCTAAATGTTCTTGTTGGTGTCATATATATATATATATATATATATACACATATATATATATATAATGATGCTTTTATATGCTTTATCAATAAAGCTGATTCTGATTCTTTTTTAAATCACTGCCAAGCTGTGTTAAAAGATGAAGCAAATACAGAAGTGCAAACAACTGCAGTTCTTTGAGTGTCCACTTAAGGAGGCTGAAGGCCCGCCTCAGCTCCAGCTCTTTGTTGTTAGGTTGACCCAAAGTTTGATACAGTCAGCATTTCCAATATGGCAGATAGCCACAGATAGGCTTCCAAAACAGTCCTTCAGAAACCAATGGGTGACGTCACTCAAGCTTCATCAATGTTTATTTACAGCCTATGATGAGTAGTAGTTCTTAATGTATGTAATG